CCGCCCATTGCCCCGCCCCGCGCTGTCGCCACGCCCAACCACGCCCCATAGCCTGCGGTCTCCGCGGGCGCCCCGCCCACATTTTGCTGGCGGCGGTGGCCGGGGCGCTCAACTTGGAGCCGGGGCGCTAGGCAGCGAGGTCTCCACAGTAGCCGATCCCCTTCGTGGCCGGGGGTGGGGAGCAGCGCGCTGCCGCTCGTCTCCCAGGGGCCGCGTGGGTCCCGGGGCGGCCGGGCTGGCCCCGCGCGGCTTCCGCGCGTTGGTGAAGGTGCTCGGTGGCCTGGGCTGCAGCAGCGCCCCGGGTGACTCACTTAACCTGCCTGGGCGCGGGGTGACGCACGCCCACCCCCGCTGGACTTGCCCGGAGCGCGGAGGAGCCCCAACGCGGGCGGAGTGAGTGGGGGGTGAGTCCGGGCGACCGCGTGCCTGGCCCGGGGACGCTACAGTAGTCAAAGTGTTACAGGGCACCCCAAGGGGCAAAGGATGTCCTAAAGGGACGCTGCAGATAAAGGAGAGACGCCTCAAAAGGGGAGTGTTTTCTTACTGGATTCCCAATCGCAAGCCTCTGGCAGCCCTGACACCCATCTCCGCGAGTTCCTTTAGGACAGCCTTCCCCCCTAACCAAAGGAGTGAGCCAAGAAAGAGAAAGACACTGAAAGTAAGAATTTGAGAAATGGGGTCTCCGCAGAGCCGCGGGTAGTTAGTCGTAGGCTTAGAGAGGACAGCAGCCTGAAACAGGGCAGTGGCGAGGTCCGGAGGGAGGGGCTTTGGCGAAGATATTGCTGGCAAGTGCCTAACAGATGATGAAGCATTAAAAAAGGAGAGAGAGGAAGTCATTAAAAAAAAAAAAAAAAACTAGGCAAATATTTAAAAACGGAAAATGATGGTTGGGACTCCCGGGCCTGGCTCAATGAAGACTTAGATCCAAGGTCATGGCAGAACTCCGAAGGTCATCTCCAGGACTGTGACGGGAACACCGACGGCGGACACAGGCCCTAAACAGGATGCTCACCACGGACGGCACTGAGGGCGGTAGGCTAGTGTCCTATGAGCATTGCCGCTGGTGCAGGAAAGTCAGGAAATCTGCCACTGTATTTCCAATATGGAAATGGCTCGTAAAATCAACTTCTTGGTTGGGAAGAATTGGGCAGATCCGTGCAGGGCTGCTGGAGGGCTTGCAACTGGGAGCCCCCATCAGAAAACTCCCTCTGTTGAGTGTGTCTCTCCTTCCTTATCTAATCCTGCTTCTCTTCCCTCCCTTACAATAAACTCAAGCACATATGTGCAGGAAGGCCTGCATAGACAAAGGCGGCAACCATGCTTTTAAATTAAAGAGGAATTCAACCACGGGGATTACCATTGAAATGGAAAAAGGCACAAATGATGTAAAAAATATACTATTATAATAAAAATTTAAAAAAAAACACTAAAAAAAAAAGGAGTCTAAAGAGCAGAGTGGTTAATGCCAAGGACTGGTTGGGAGGATAATGGGAATTATTTTTTGGGTACAAAGTTTCAGTTGGGGGACGTGAAAAGTCCTGAAAGCAGATGGCACAGTGTGGGTTACTTGGTGACGTTAGTTTGGTGATACTGTAGCTTATAAGTGGCTGAAATGGTGCCTTACCTGTTAAGTGTATTTTTACTACAAGAAAACATTTTTAAAGTTAAAAAAAAAATCACATAACAAAAATGAAGTCATTATTAACTCCAGGTAAAAATAAAGAATTTGACAAGAAACCATGGAGCTGAGCGAGCACACTCCTCGGCTCTGCAGTGACGATATTGCATGAACGTCATTCTGTAAACACTGGCTGTATGGATTTAGTCATGCTTTATGCTAGCACTCTGTTGAGAAGAATGGGAGGCAGGAAGGGTGAGGATGTGGGAGAGAGCTGAGTATTTGTCATGGCAATAAGTCAGTCGATAGTACCGTAAGTCCACAGATCACTATGTACACATTGTTCAGAAACATGGAGATAAATGCCAGGGGCAGTAGCTGGATGGGTGGTCAGGGGCGCTGAGTACATTTTGAGATGTCAAGACCCATGAGTTGAAACAGATGAGGCTGGGGTGACCCTGGCGTTGAAAAGACCCAACAGGCATGAGTGAAGGTCCTTTGAGGAGAATCAACAAAGGGTTAAAGGTGGAGAAAATGATAATGAGGTAAGCGGCAAAGCTGTCCAGAAAACTTCATGTGGATCCTTCCTGGAGGATGGGAAAGAGAATTAGGATGAAGAAAAGCACAAGTGACAATGTGCTTTGTCACTTGTATACATTGTTCAAGTGACAACTTGGGCCCTCACCCACAGGGGCCTCCCTGGTGGAGCAGGGGCCAAGTCTCAGCACTATAAAGCTATCCACAGCCACTGCGGCACGAGTTCGATCTCCGGCCAGGAAGCTGACCCACATGGCGCGGCAGACCTCTCCTGTCTCCCCACTGCTCCCCTCAGCAGTGCACTTCGTCAGTCAGCCTGTTCTGCTCCCCACTCTGTCTCTGGTGAATCCTCTCACTACCACAACTCTGGCCTGTGCCCAGCTCTTGTATGCATAAATACATAAAATATAAATCTTTATTAAAAAGACTCAAATAAAATGACCCAAAGGTAACAAGAATAGAGGTGGCTTCGTAGTGATAGGGCAATAGCTTGGAATGGAAATGGGGACTTAGGAGTGTTTTCCAGTGAAGGTTGGGAGAGAAAGGCAGTGCCCAGGCAGCAACCCCGGGTGTCTCTTAAGTGACAGATCTTGAATGAGTGTCCTTGAAAAACGTCAGGGGCTGAGGAAGCCCGTTTGTAACAGTAGAGTTCTCTCTGTTTCCTCTGCAGGAAGGTGGACACAGAGCAGACAGCATGAAGCTTCTCCCTGGGGGAGAAGGACCAAACCTGGCTCTGGGGGTGAGCCTATCTGTGACCCAAACCTCCAAAGCAGAAGGGATATACTTAGGTCGCTATTTGTCCGTGGTGGGACTCAGTGGCATTCGCCAGCCTGACCAACCACCAACTCCTAAAGCCTCATAGGACCTGGGACGCAGGAGGAGACTGGACGGCCCTGGGGTTTGGTTTACTCAGTTTCCCAGGCTTCAGAGGTCTGGGCCCTCCACTGGAGCACCCCAAGGCCCAGAGCGGCCCCGGCCTCCCCGGGGCACAGGGCTGGCTGAGTCCTGACGCTGCCCAGCGCCTCTTCTATATCAATGTCTCTGGCCTGCTCTTTGGCCTTTCCAGTGGAGCGACATGCCCAGGGGCCACAGAAGCAGACCCCAGGAGCCTTTGGAGTAAAGATGTGCAGAAAGCAATGCTTTAAAGCCGGCGTATCTGAAAATGTCATTCTATCCTCACACTTGATCAAGGGTTCACCTGGGATGGTGTGGAATTCTAGGTGAGCAACCATTTCCCTCAGAGTAATGAAGAGTTTATTCCATTTTCTTCTGATGTCCACTAATGCCATTTTGATTCCTAATCCTTTGTGCGTTTCTACTATTTTGGGGAGAGCTTAGGGTCTCCCCAAGTTCCTAAGTTCATAAAAATTTTAAGGCTGTATCTTACCCTGCACATTTCCCCTCACTCACTTTGGTGTTTGCTCAGTGGCCCCTCAGTCCTGACGCTCTGTGTCTTCCATTCTGAGACAGAGTGGGGTGCAGAACAGGAAAGGTGGCTGAGGCACACTGCTGAGGGGAGCAGTGGCCAGGTCACCTCCCTGGCTGGGGATCGAACTCATGCTGCGGTAGCTGCTGATAGCTTCATAGTGCGGTGCTTTGACCAGCTGGGCCACCAGGGTCCCTTTTATTATTATTATTATTTCTTGATAAAGTCTCATCCTCCCCATTTTTCCCAGATGTTGGACTTTTAGGATGGATTCTCTACTTCCCTCTTCTTTCCTGTTTTCTCATCTGGCTCACGTAAAATCTTCCAAAGTTTTCATCTACTGTCTTCCATCTTTTCCCTCAAATGTTTCTTTTCAAGCATTCTGCACTGTAATAACCAAAAGTCCGTTCTTGTTCTGATCATTGCACTGTTTCTCATTCCATAGGTAAAATGTTTTCTCTCTCTGTGGATATTAGCTATATTACTTCCAGACTGCTTTGCTCTTTCTTCTGTATTGATCTTCTTCTTTCACGTTAGAACTTTCCACAAACATTTAGCAACCCTTGACTGTCTGTTAAATTTTTATCAGAAGCTACAAAAAATGAGTTGACGGTTTTGTGTACGAGAAAGAAGCTTATCCATTGCAGGTCTTAGAGATCTGGGAGAGAAGCATGCTGTTCCCTGAAGGGTGATTCCCTCTTGTCCAAACCTCTGGTCAGCCATCCTATTTCCAAGCTACAGAGCGGCACTAATGAGTGTGAACTCCTGAATCTCTTAAGCCTTGTCTTCGCCCCTATCTCTTAGCGATCATAATGACCCTCAAATCCCACAAACAGCTAGCTTGAGCATGACAATACACAAAGAGAGTTAAGGGGCCACAGTCATTCACCTGCTAGTATAACTTCATATCTAGCCCTCCACTGACATCAGCTGCAGGAAGTGGAAATCTGATGGGTCCGGAAGCAGGAACAGCTAGGTAACTTGAGGTCACAGAGTGGCGGCTGGAGCACAGCCCAGAGCAGGTGAGGGAGACCTGGGACGAGGCCATGGAACCCGGATGACCCCGGGAGGTGGGAATATGGAAAAGCGAGTTAACCTACTTTGAAATTGTGCTCAGAGCCAGAGCTGTGTGTGGAGAGTAAATTTCTTTTCCTCCCTCATGGCCTGCAGACAGCCTGCCCCCCAAGACCCCAAGACCGGGATAGGAGAGCCGTGCAAGTGAACCTGAAATAAACCACCTCCCTGGGAA